TTAGTAGAGAAATTAATTTGAAAAATTACCTTGACGTTTCGATAGCTATTTTCTGCTATCGTTATCAAAAGAACCTAAATGAACCTAAAAAAAATATATTAATAAATTGTGTAACAATAGTAGGATAATACAGTATATCAAAACTTGCTCTGATAATTCGTCTGTGCAAATTGTCCGTTATGTGACTTTGACTTAACCTCATTGTTTAAATTAATAAAGGTAATGTTAATTAATAATTTTGGTGTAAATTTAATTTGGGTGTATGTTACTCTGGTCTACTTCAGATTTTAGCATAGGTAAATGTATGACTTAAATTAAATGAACATGAAGCAACACAATTATTTTGATTTAGTAAAATTAGTGCGCTTTGTGTTTGTGTGTGCGGATTGTTCTTTTGTTAAAATTGTGGAATTATTCCATTGAATTTTATGGCAATTATCAAATGCATGTTCACAAATTGAGGATAATATTATTTTACAAGTGTCAATAATACTGGCATGTTCTCAAATATTAGTAAATAACCTTATTTAAGGCCTATTTCTCAGTTAACTATGACTTTATTTTATTAACAACTATGACTTTAGGTGGCACCTGAGAAGGTGCCAAGCAATCCTCCAAAAGTCCGCCAAATCCAGCATTTCACAAATGCCGATAACTTATTTTATAGTATCTATAATCTTCAATTTGTTCTTGTAATTCATTTAGCAATTTATGCTTCAACAGTATTATATTATTTAATTGGCCATTGCTTGTATTCGTAACTTTACTACTTAGAGGGGATCAAAATCAAAAACGAAATTCGCTTTCGTTAAGCTTTTGTAGCGTGGATAGGCGATAGGATAGTAGAGAAGTGAAGGGTCACAGTGGTGTGGCGGTAAACACATCCACTTGCCATTGATGAGATCCTGCGTTCAACCGGTACCATCGCAAATCAAGGCCCAACTGATGTGACGTCACGAGTAGGCCGAATCGGTAAGATATCACAGAACTCGAGCTGGCTAACTCTCACAGCGAAATGGTGCTCGTGACGTCAGAGCAGTCAGGCCTTGACATGTGTTGGTGCCGGTTCAACCCCGGCCAAGCAGTGAGATGCACCTGGACCACCAAAAGGTCTAAAACTTGGCTGCTGGACCCTTAGGACCTTCAGGATATGCCAGCAAATAAGATAGACATGAACGAAGAAAGATTTAATAACTTTAATAAATAAATTCTCGATTGTGTCAAGCGCTAAATAAATAAATGTTTGAGGAAGAAGGAGTGAACAAAATGGTGACCTGATTTATTAGTATTTTGTTACGGCAAATGTTAATTAAACCAATTTAAAAGTGGTCGTGTTTTCGTACAAATACTCGTATCGGTTTACTTTATAATTTAGCCGCCAGTAGACGTTTGGACTTTTGAATTAGCGAATATCTGACATTTACCAAATATCCGTTTTTTTGCTTTTGCTAGCAAATATCTTATTTCGAATACTTGAAGTTTGAATTCAACTTTTTGGTTTCAGAACACCATTTTGCCCGAGGCCGTACATTTCTGGGAACAAGCGCTCCTTGTAAGGCGAGCTGGGAATGTTATTCGCTTAACGAGGTAAGAACTACCTACTCAGAATATAATCGAGGATTATTATAACAAGCTATATACTTTTTATTCAGTAATGGTTTATAGTACCCAATGCGAATCATCGGGTGGGCGTCATATCTTTAGAGGTGTTCTAGGGGAGAATTTAGTGAGTACGAAAGAAAAACCGATATTAGCAACATGCCAAATCATAAATGCTTTTTGCCAGGGTGTATCAAATATAAACCAAACTGATTAAAAAAATATACAGGGTGATTCAAAATTGGCGTTATT